CACCTTATTTATGAATTTTTTCCTCTAATAAATCTGCAACTTTAACTCAAACAAAAATAACCCAATAATAAAGCCCAAGTATTGCAATTTATCCACTACAGAATGACGAGGAATGAATCGCGACAATTGCCGATACCATGTTCACAAAGGTTGATAGAAACACTGGGAAGAAGAAAGTAATCTCTTCCTCTCCCCTTCTTTCATTATATAGAAAGGAATGTGTACACATATGGGAACTTGATATGCTCTTGCCTAATATACATTATTCATAATTAATTTACTTCCTTAACACATACAAAATATCTCACTCGGAGAGTGGGATTAAAAATGAGTTTAAAGAAAAATAAATTGTGTCAAACAAACGCTGAAAAAAAAAAAAAAGAAAAAGAAAACTACTAATGAAAAATACAAGGATAATTTACACAAATATGGATAAAATATGGGAATGAATTGAAAAATATTAATTTTGGTTCAATTTTACGAAATTATAACTTTTACTAGCTCTTAAAGAAAATTCGACAATTACAATTTATGTCATTATTTCACGTGTATGTATTTTTATTTATTTTATTTTATTTTTGCAAATTACAATTACATAATTTTTTGACAAAATACAGTATTTAATAAATTACAATGATTGTAACATATACTATATGTTATTGCCGATTATAGTGTATATAATTTTTCAAAATTGTAATTCACACTCGGTTTCGGTGTATGTAATATTTTTGATATTGTATGTTTTCTTAATGGAGAGGCTATGTTAATTATGTTACAGTGCATGTAATTTTTGACATTCTAACTTACACTCTTTTAAATCACCTTGCATTGTGTTGATTATAGTTGCATCATATGTAACTTCTATAATAATAAACCTAAAAATAAGGATTGCTTAATCATACAACTACATATTATTCAATTTTTTTCATTTTCATTGATTTATATACTTCATTAAACCCCTGTTTGGCCTTCATTCTATAAAAAATATTTTTTCTCAAATTTATTTCCAACCACATAATCTTCCAATATAATAATTTTACTCATAAACCTAAAAGTTTTTCTAACTTTTAACCACACAATCTTCAAAAAATTACTATTATAAAGCTTATTCTTTCTGAAATAGAGCACAAATACACCTCAATGTGCATCAAGGATCATAACCTCACAAACAGTTTCTTACATACTTCAATTTTAAAGTATATATCAAAC